CCGCTAGGACACGAGGCTGGAGTGAAAAAAAAAGTTTGAAAAGAACCACAAGAATATGACATACACTAACTGCACCACAACTTTCCTTGGGAAAAACTGTTGAAAAAAATCACTTTTTTCTGGAAAGACATTGGCCCCATTGTGACACACGAAGTGGCCCTGTGGCCACTGTCCGTATTTTGGGGGTTATTTGTAACTAAACAAAAGAAAGATAACTGAAAGAAGGTTGAGAAATTCCTTGGAGTAGTGAAGTCTGTATTTTACCCTGTTAATGAATTCTGAAAAAGGTGCATGTAAAAATGACTCTTCAAAATTCTCTACAGGTACAAAATATTAAAAATAATTAAATAATTAATGTTAAAGGAAAAAAATGTTTCGCAACCGCACTAAAAGAAACGGTTTGTTTGTTTTACATACGGACATGCTGGCTCAAAGGAGGCGTAGAGTAATGGGGCCAAGACAAAACGCCAGGTCAGGATTGCTTTACCAGTTCTTACGACATTGTTTACGAGAAAGTGTAGAGGAGAACAAGTCAAGAACCCAGACGGAGATAAAGTGGGAAGAAGGCCGTGGCGATGCATTGTGCGTACTTTCAGGAAGCCAGATAGCTGCATAACAAAGACATTGTTGGATAGGAATCCACAGGGTTAGAGATCAAAGGGAAGGCAGCCTGGAACCTTGAGATGAATCAAAGAGAATGATGTACAGAAATAATAAGATAGCATGGAATAATATCAAGTGGCTAGCCCGGGATAGGAAAATGTGGAAAGAGTTTGTTCGAGGCCTACATACCCTGGCGCAGGGTGAGAAAGGTAGTGATGATGACGACGTTGTTTATTGAACTTTGAACCTTCCAGTTTACGGATGCTGTCTTCGCAGCTGGTCATTGATTTATTTAAGTAGATAGTTACATTTCTTTTGGTCATATTTGCATTCCCCTTTCTCTATTTTATTGACGTTAGGTCTAAAGTAATGTTTTAAAAATATTTTACTAACAGTCAGATGTGTTAGTATGTCAGTGCTTATTATGTGTTGACTGAATTAAAAAAAATGCTACCCATAGAATGTGGAATAGGATTCATTAGAAGTAAGCGAAATTTATTCTGCTACCTATTTCTGTGTCACTCAAAGAGAAACAAATTTAGAAGGAATCAAGTGGAGTTCCTTGCGAGCTTTAAAAAAAAAAGAACAAAAAAAGAGTTAAAGATAAAAAGTGGACATTGTGTGAGTTAAGATATCACTCCAAAAGGTCAATACACCACGCCGTGTTAGCCTGAGAGTGGGAACTCAAAGCAATGCTGCTGATTTTACTAGAGCTATATGGTGAAAAAAGTATAATATGTACGATTTGAGTGTAACAGCTTTAGATTCACAAAAGGTTTTAGTCAAGAGAAAAATTCATCTTTGTCAATGAACCACCGAGAAAGGGGAAGCAAAAAAACTGAACAAAAGAAATATCTACCTTGTTCAAAGATTGGAACTGGAAGTTGATATCGGTACAATCTCGCTCAAGGCCCATGAGAACCTCCAGGCGTTTTCTCTTTTGGCGTTTGGGTAATCTAAACTTCATAGCTCCCCCACCCGCTTGCTGAGGGCGTGAGATAGATCGCTGCTCGAGCTGTTGCTGCTGCTGCTGTTGTTGCTGTTGTTGTTGTAGCAGCTGCTGCTGTTGTTGATGCTGGTGCTGTTCCGTTAGTTCTTCATAGAGTTTTATTCTAGGTGTGTTAGTGGTGTCTGTGTAGTGTAAGGATTCCGTACTGCCGAAGAAGAAGGAGCGCTCTCTCATGTTGGAGCGTTTGGGTACCTGGGGGGTAGTGTGGTGGACAGTGACACGACTCACAATGGGGAAACGCAATCGCAATCTCTTTCTCTTTCTGTTTCTGCATTATTTATTGGCAGAAAAACAACAACAAAAAGCAAACAAAACAACAAATACCCCGCCTCCAAAAAAAAACAACCAAAGAAAAAACCCATTGAGAGAACAAATTTGGTGGTTGGCGGGTGCTCTGGTGTGGTCCGCTCCTTCCTTCCTATCAAACATTTATTATCGTCCTTATCTCTCCTTCTTTTTTTGTGTTTTTACTCTCTTGTAACACCTCAATTCTTCGGCAGTTTTATGACCCTATTGTGCTACAAGTGCCTTCAATTTTTTTTACTAAATCAAGAAGAGAACGAAGCTTCTCTCTACAAAAAAGCTAGCATGAGCAGGTAAAGGTTCATACTGTATTGTTGAACACACTTTATTAACGACCACCTGTCCTAGAAGATCTCTTGTACAGACAACCACTTCCCACCTGTCTCCTTACGGTTTCCCCTTTTATTATAATGACACAGTCCAAGAGGACAACCTGTCTAAGATGACCACTTTTCTCTTCGACACTGAGTAGGGAAACGCAATCGCAATCCCTTTCGCTCTCTATTTCTGTTTTACCTATTAGCCAAAAAATAAACCAAAAAAACCCAACAAAAACGAAACACAGAAAAACAACCCCCCCCCCCAACAACAACACAC